TAGACAGGTGTGTGGCTTTCCTAATCAAGTCCAATCAGTATAATCAAACACAACTGGACTCAAATGAAGGTGTAGAACCATCTCAAGGATGATCAGAAGAAATGGACAGCACCTGAGTTAAATATACGAGTGTCACAGCAAAGGGTCTGAATACTTAGGACCATTTGATATTTCAGTTTTTCTTTTTTAATAAATCTGCAAAAATGTCAACAATTCTGTGTTTTTCTGTCAATATGGGGTGCTGTGTGTACATTAATGAGGAAAAAAAAATTAACTTAAATGATTTTAGCAAATGGCTGCAATAAAACAAAGAGTGAAAAATTTAAGGGGGTCTGAATACTTTCCGTACCCACTGTATATCGGTTACTTGATATGTAATAACCGATATCGGCATCGGCCCCGAAAATCACATATCGGTCGACCCCTAGTTCTCAACATTGGTATTAATAAGAACCAAATCAGCATAGAATGATTTTTGGATGTTGTTGTGACTCTGAAGACTAAAGTAATGGCTACTGAAAATTCAGATTGTGTTTATTGTGTTTTTGATCAATTAAATGCAGCACTGGTGAGTAAAAGAGAATTATAAAAAAAAAAAAGACTAATTATTAATTTACTTATTGTTATAATATTTTGACAAATGTCTGTTTTTTCCCCCCCACATTCAATGCCAGTCAATGGGAACCAATGTTCATTGCATGGACAAACGGTTGAATCATCTTTCAAAATATCTTTGGTGCAGCCAACCTTTCATCTATGACTATTGTATATCTGACGTGAATTTTATGGCATGAGCACCGTTTGGAACGGACAGTGAAAGCAGTGCCAAGTTTTGTGACAGTGCCACAGTCAGACGTCAGCTTAGTCCAAACAAACACGCTGTGATCCTGCAGCAGGACCAGGAGCAGAAGCTAATGTTTGCTTTGACTTCAGAGATGCCATATATTTCTTCAGGACTGTCAAAATATACTTTTCGGCACTAAGATTTATGTTCAGCCTCTAATCTGGGCATTTGGTAGACCTGCTGAAGGTGGGCGAACGAATGAAAAACTGAGCCCAGGATCAAGCTGACTGAAGTATTTACTTGCTAACCTGGCTTAGACATGTTCCTGCATGGAAGGGGTCAAACAGAGAATTGTAACAAGACCCCGGAGGAAAGCGAAAGAGATACTCACCACAGATAAGGAAAGAGGAAATGGCCAAGCAATGAAGATAAAGCGTAGTTGTAAAGAGAAATCAATGATTGAGCTACTGATATCAGGTCAGCTCGCGTCAGCAGATGTGAGTGGTCTACCTGTGCAGTGTCAGTTTGCTGGGTTTCTCCCTGTTGTCATCGAGGTGTTTGCAGAGCAGTGACGCCAACACTTCCCTGTAATTACACTGAGTGCCTAGAGCAGTTCCCCCACCAACGCCCCCTTCTCAAACCAAACTGCCTGTCCGCCGGCTGGGACGTCCTTCTAGTGCCGGAGCTTAAAATAACAACGGCCTGCTCACACCCTCCCTCTTGTGTTAGCTGATTGTTCTGTCACCCATGCGGTAATTCCAGCAGGTCTGCCTCCTCCGTCAGTCTAATTACCTTCCTGCTGCTTCCTCCTCGGAAGAGCTTCCATGCAGAACGGTTCTTTATTAACACTATAGTTTTGAGTTACATTTATTAACTTAGCATCATTTCATGTACGGAGACTGGGGTCTGTGTACTTGCTATGTTTTTATGTTGTAGTGTCTCTTGTGAACACAAATGCTAGTAGATAGTATTTGAACCACTTACTGATACTTTTCCACAAAAAGTATTATTTTGTGATAAAGGTCTGACCGAGGAAAAAAAAAATTAGCTTAAGCATTGTAAAAATACACTAATTTTCAAAGGTTTGAAGTCGTTTACAGTAAAAAGTAATATTATGAAATATGATGAATATTTAAAATAAGTTTTCTATTATTATTAATGTTGATAACATTTCCTGTTATTATAAATGTTGAACACAGTTGTGCTGCTTTATTATTATTGTTAAAATACTTTTTTCCTAAATTCTTTGAATAGAAAGTTTAAAAGAATAGCATTTATTTAAAATGGAAACATTTATCATTTTTTAACATTATGAATGTTTTTATTGTCATTTTTTTGTCAATTTAATGCATCTTTACTTAATAAAAGTATTTATCCTACTGAACCCAACTTTTGAATGGTAGCATATATCTAGAATCACAGACATTCCTGTCTAGTCAGGAATGGAAAAATCTACTTAAAAAATAAGATTAAAAATAAGTTGAAGCTATTTATAATTTATAATGGAATTTTTTTTAAATTAAAAAATGTCAAACATTTTATATATATATATATATATATAAATAAATAAATATAAATAAATAAATAAATAAATAAATAAATAAATTTCCACTTCAACCCTCGAATGGACCGGAAGGTGGTCATGAACAGTGTGATAAATGGAAATTTGGGAACTGAAGAAAGTGTCTCTGACAACCCCTTTAAAAAGGGACAACCTTTTGAGATGTTCACTGTCATCAAATCTGAAGGATATAAGGTACATGTTTTGAGAACGAGACTCACCACACTGCTAAAAGGGAGCTAGGACCTTGTCCTCACACGGGTTGTGTTGCTTTGGTTCATCAGGTTTATGTGAATGGTAAAGAACTGTGCACATTCAAGCACCGTATACCGCTGGAAAAAGTGTCAACGTTAAATATCAGTGGAGATGTTGCTGTGACCCTTTCTGGTTTCATACAAGTAAGTTATTTTTTTCTTCAGCTAAAGCAATGTTGCACCATGAATGATATTGTCACAGTATCCATTAGGGCTGCACGATAAATCGCATGCGATATTTAACGCGCATCAAAACCACGTTCATATTCGCACGATTTTTTGCGCAGCTCGTCAGTGAACAACGGCTCTGTGTAGTTAATGCTGCTCAATGTGAAAGCCCGCAGGTGATGGAGATTTACCGCTGATTACAGAACCGGCTTTCTGACAACATGCGCATTAAATATTGCATGCGATTTATCGTGCAGCCTATATATATATATATATATATATATGTGTGTGTGTATATATTTATATATGAACAGCATTAATTTGAAAGTCTTCAATGTCACATTTGATCAATTAAATGCATCCTTGCTGAATAAAAGTATTGCTTAAAAACATATTATTAACTACAATTTTTTTGTATTTATTTGTCAATTTATAAAGTGATTTAAAAAAAAATACTTTTTAATATTACTTTAAGTGCCATTCCTAGTCGTCCACAGAAAAGCAGGTAATTTGTTCTAAAAAAATTTGCCAAGTTTACGCAAGAAAAGCAGACGTTTAATTTGGATTGGATAGCAGTCGCAAAGTTTGTCTGCGGAACTGAATTTACACCCTCAGGCAAAACTTTACAAATAAGATCATTGTCATTCAAATAGAATGCTAGAGGAGGTGAATGATTCTTGGCTGTCTATCTGCCACGAACTCAGAGAGACTGCTGCTCCTTGAGTTTGGGGGTTGACCAACTCTGGAAACCAGATGGAAGATTCTAGAAAGTGGGTGAGATGAGAGCTCCAGAGCAAACAAAGACAGCTTGGGCTTGTTTGTTTGGATTGTCTGAGAAAACCTCCTACTTTGCGAGCGAAACCCTGAAAGCTTGCTCCCTTCTGTCGGCTCAGTGCTCAAGACCTTACTGTGAAAAACAAGAGGAGGAGGGAGTGAGGAGAATGTGTGTGTCTTCTGCTGGCAGATTCATGGGGATGCCAGAGCAAGGAGAAACTGACGAATGGGTAGACAGGTCCACGGCCTTGCTTTCCTCTCTGGGGTTTCCCATAATGCCTTTACATGGAAGTCTTTATAGGCACAGGGGCGCTGCCAGATATCTGGTCTGGTTGCTAACAGCAACTTAATGATGTGCTGAAATATACAGTGTCTCTCTGTTGTTCTGGGCTGAAATGCTATACAATCTTCTAATGAGGGTCTGACTGTAAACTTGAAGGTCAACGGCTGACTTTTATATGCTAAAAAGCGAGAATTTAGGAGCCAGAATGAAACAAATTGATTGGTATTTGATGCCATATGCCATTTTCAGCAGCCATTACTCCAGTTTTCAGTGTCACTTGATCCTTCAGAAATCATTTTATCATATTAGATGTAGATTTGATGCTCAAGAAACATTTCTTATTATTATCAATGTTGAAAACAGTTGTGCTGCTTAATATTTTGGAGGAAAGTGTGATAATATACCATTCAAAGGTTTGGGGTAAGTAAGATTTATTTATTTATTTTTAAAGAAAAGTATTAAATTAATCAAAAATGACAGTCAAGATGTAATTATATATTATAATATAATTATATATTATACTGTAAATTACTTGGTCCTTAAATGATACTGTCACAAAATATTTAAAATAAATGCTTTTCATTAAACTTTCTGTTCAGCAAAAAACATGACAATCTCCATTAAAAAAACACATATTGTAATGTTAATAATCATAAGAACCATTAATAATAATGGAGTGCCAATAATTGAGCATGAAATCAGCATATTAGAATAATTTCTGGAGACTGAAGACAATGAAGACTGCTGAAAATTCAGCTTTGCCATCACAGAAAAAAAATGCAAAAAATATTTAACATGCAAATTTTAGTACTGTTTTTACTGAATTTTTATTTGAATAGAAACTTATTTCTGTCTTTTTTTTTTTTTTTTTAAGATTTATTTTTGCCATTTCCATTTTTTATGATAGGATAAGTTAAGTGGGAAGTGAAGTGGGAGAGAAAGAAGGGGACGGGATTGGGAAAGTTTTACGAGCTGGGACTTCGAACTCGTGACGTCCGAAGCGCAACAGCGCTATATCTCGGCACGCTGCCCACGAGGCTATTGGTGCCGACTCAATAAAAGCTTATTTCAAAAACATTAAAAAAAAAATGTAATTACTTCAATTCACTTTTGACCGCTAGTGCGTTTCTTAAGGAGTGGCACAGTTGAAAGATGACTACATGTTTTTCTTCGCAGGATGTGAAGATCTTCCGGGCGCTGATCCTGGGAGAGCTGGAGAGAGGGCAGAGCCAGTACCAGGCGCTCTGCTTCATCACACGGCTCAACCACAATGAGATCATCCCCAGCGAGTCCATGGCCAGACTCCGACAGGTCAGTCCATTGCTCCCAGGCTCCCTCAGAGGCTGATGACAGTCACTGGGGTGAAAACAAGCAGATGCTGGGTGTTAGAGTTGAGCTCATGGGTTAATAACTGTGTTGCGTAGGAGTGTGATGTTTTAAATGGGAGATCTCAGAGGAACAAGGCTGTAAAAGGCCTGAAATGAGTAGTTCCTGGGAGGATGGCCAAGGTCTTAGATGTGTGAATATGAATGAAAGGTGTGAGAAAAGACTGGAAACATCTAGCTTTAAAGAACGACAGGACTAATACTAAAATCTTCCTTTTTGTATTACAGAAAAATCCCCAGGCCATCCGCACAGCGGAAGAGAAGAGAAGCACGGAGATGCTGAGCATGAACGTAGCAGTTAATTTGACACGGACGTGGCAGCTGAGCGCCCACATCCACAACATGTGCAGCGTCGCCCGCGAGGCCGTGTACACGCGCGAGGCTGATGTCAGACACTGGCTGGACAGAGGCAAGCATGCTTACTGCGTCCCTTAATTACACCCTACCAAACCCAGCATATCGCTGACATAGTGCACTTCACATATTAACCCTCTGTAGCCTGATATATGAAATAATAGTCCCACAATAACCTTTAGACAAAATATGTAAAAAGTAAATTAATAATAATTTCAAGAATGCACACTGTAGATCATGTATCATTTGACACATCAGGCGTTAATGGTGAATTAAAGATACCAACAAAAGTGTATTTTCATGATTGAAATGATAGTCTTTGAAACATTGATTAAATTCTGCAAGTTTTGATGCCAAGAAAGGATGAAACCAGGTTATAAATGAATATAAATATAAATGTGTATAAATATATTTTAAATGTGTTTATATATTGTATATGTAAATATGTATTTGTATATATGTATGAATAATATTGAACATATAGAACATTTAGACAAAACATTTCAGTAACACTTTAGTATAGGGACCAATTCTCACTATTAACTAGTTGCTTATTAGAATGCCTATTATTAACGTATTGGCTGTTTATTAGTACTGATAAAACACATTCTGCATGACCATATTCTACATCCCTAATCCTACCCAATACCTAAACTTAACAACTACCTTATTAACTATTAATGAGCAGCAAATTAGGAGTTTGAGGCAAAAGTTGTAGTTAATGATTTGTAAATAGCAAGAATTGGACCTTAAATAAAGTTTGACCAACTTTTCAATACAAAAATTATATGTTTGTATAACTACAAAGCAGACTAAAAATATTTCATATAATATATAACAAATATATAAATGATATTAGTAAGAATAAAATAAATGATGCATCAAGAACATTTTTACAATTAAAAGTGATGTGATTTGTAATAATTGTAATATATAACCTCTGTCTCTCTATATCTTTTATGTCTATTAATATCATATAAAAATATAAATGAAATTATTATGAATAATTAAAATGAATTATGGTATCTCGAATATAGAGTGAAAAATAATGTGATTTTTAAAAGTATATTTAGGCTATATTTGTAAAATATTTCTATTTTTAATTAATTTTATGGTTTAATTGGGTTAAATACTAATATTAAATAATGAGGCTCTTTACTTGAATTATCATGTTTAACTATCATTATTGACATGACAGTAAAACAACAAAAAAAAAAGAAAAAAAAAAGTTTGAGCTTTATCCAACTCTTTAGGTCTAGTTAGACCTAGTACAGATGCATTACTGTTTTAATTGGAACACATCTGCATTTGTAACGCCTCACTGACCTACATAGCTTGAAGCTTGATGATCGTTAACTATAATAAATGATTTTTCCGATTCTTCAGGCGTGGAGGGCTCCATGTTCGAGCCTCAAGCCGTGGAGGTGCCAGGCCTGCAGAGCTGCGGGACAGTGAAGGACCTGTGGCAGCCGTGCTCCTGTAGCTACAACCTCAGACTGGAATGGTACCCCTGCCTGCTGAAGTACTGCCGCAACAGAGACGTCTCTGGCAGGGGCAGCCCGTATAAATGCGGCATCAAGAGCTGCAGCAAAGGCTACCAGTTTACTTACTACGTGCCCCACAAACAGCTGTGCCTATGGGAGGAAGAGACCTAGAACCACATATGCGTCTGCAAAAACATATTTAATGTGACCTTCACCACCTCCAAGCCTTCAGACTCGTGCCTTATGCACAGAGCAGAAATGATGCTGGATGGGTGTGGATGGAGTGTGATTTGAGCAGTTTGCCACGTCTTTGAGCTGGTCAGTAGTTTTAAAGCTCTTCCTGCTCTTACCAGCACTGTGGAATGGAATTGAGACCCAATTGAGTCTGGGACGAGCAACCTGTGAATTAGTCTTTATATAACAAGATGTAATCTTAAAATTAGCTGGATCTCGTCAGGTTGCCAATTTTCTTTTTTTTTTCTGAAACTGGTATTATTTATTTGGCAGTGGGATACGATTGAAGACACTTAAGCACAGCGCACACGTTCAGAGAAAATGCCTTTTTTCTCTTTCTCTTTTTAGTTTTATATTTTGACTGTTAGATTCAAAGCACTGTGGTGAACATATACATGCTTTGATTAATATTGGTGCAGACAGAAAACGCTATTAATCAATCAATCATTGATCACTTTTAATTCAGACCGATTCAATCATGTGAATTATCTCACCTCAAGTCTTAATGCTGGGATTCTTTGGGAGTGTGTGTTTTCATTTTCATAAGGATGGACTTGCACAACAGTATCATTTAAGGACCAGTTGGATCAATACAGTTTGAAGTATGGCCTCTGATTAGTTGGGAACAGACAATACTTCAAAAGTGAAGTGAGGAAACCAAAGTAAGTGTATGTTCTGAGGGATAGAAAGTACAGAGAAAGGCATCAGGCTGATGAAATCTGTGCATCCAACACTGCCATCTTCTGGTTTTGCAGCATTACGGTCACTCAGGCTCCTCCTATCAGCATGACCTCAGAACATCAGCAGAGCTGTGAAACCATCACAAATACGGATTCACATCCTTTTGTGTGGTATCAGACGTACTAGAAGAAATCACTTTCATTTAACAGGACCAAATCCGCAGACTGAGCTCTGTCATGAAGAAGAGAAACCGTTCTATTGTTTCACATTTCACTACATTCACCTTCAACTCACGACTCGCCTCTCTTAACATGTGAATGTTCGCGTTTAACATGCTACAGGTGATTCGGTTGTCATTCATGGTACTAAAATGTTTATACGGATTTATTTAATTTTGTTTCAGAGAGTTTAAGTGTTATGTTAAAAGTGTTTTTTTGAGATTACACCTCCCCAAACAACAGCCATTGTCTGGGATACAAGTGCCTTGGTGATTCAGTGTTTACTGATTCTTTTTACAGATAAAGTTGGTATGAATAAAGTATAAAAACTATTTTCCTATGAAAATGAATATGAGCATAATATGAAGTAATTATAAATAAAAGCTCCTTCAGCAAACTGTCTTTTATAACCTGTGTCTTATTTGCAGAGCTGCAGCATTGTGATGGTGTCAAACCTACCTATATGTTGTAACATTTTATAAATAACTTTAAGCATTATATAATGCTTTGTTATACACTACAGTTCAAAGCAAGCAGCACAACTGTTTTCAACATTGATATTAATAGGAAATGTTTCTTGAGCATCAAATCAGCATATGAGAATGATTCCTGAAGGATCATGTGACACTCAAGATTGGAGTAATGATGCTGAAAATTCAGCTTTGCTATATTGGGAATAAATTACATTTTAAAGTACATTAAAGTAGAAAACAGATATTTTAAATTGCAATAATATTTCACATTATTAATGTTTTGCTGTATTTTCATTAAATAAATACAGCCTTGGGGAACATAAGAGACTTTTGTAAATATTTTTTTTTTTTTACCCTAACCTAAACTTTTGAATAGTAGTGTACTTGAATCAAATTATCTTGCAATTTATAATTATTTTAAAGTACTCTACCTAATATAAGCATTATTATGTTAATGTAATATTATATATGAAACCTTATTCATTGGAGATGTTATTATTGAATAAAGAGTTAGTTACTCACTTGTTCACTGACAATGAAATGAGACACCATATAGATAAAAACAGTTGTTTTCACTTTTTTTATTTAAATACATTTGTAACAACTTGCTACTCTGCTCAAATAGCCTATAGCTTTTAAAAGGGAGAAAAGTAAATCTCTCTGAATTATTATTATTATTATTAGGCTATTATTATTATTATTATTATTAGTAGTAGTAGTAGTATTGATAATTTGTCAATTTTTTTCTCGTTGTATTGAAAGCTTAGTATATATATTTCCAGATTTTTCTCAAGATGCACTTGTTTATTTTAGCTGTTACTGTTACTTAAATTTAAATGTATAGTTTTGCTGCCAAAATACTTACTGCAGTCATTGTTATTATAATCAGACTAGAAATTTAGGCCACGTCATAAAAATGAAAATGGCAGAAACACTGCTCGAATCAAATGTCATGATAACTGATTATTGTTTTAAAGTAGTGACCATACCAAAGAAGACCTTCTATACTCTTTGACCATACTTCGTACTAACAACAGCGGTAACTATGGTTACGTTGTAATTTGTTGTGAAGGAAGGCCGCGGTCCGTACCAGCAGAGGTCGCCGTGCTGTAAGGATGCGTCTTCCTCTTTGTTGCCATCCTCGCTGTTGTCCAGCCGCAGAGGGACTGAGAGGCTGAAATGTGGCTTTTGTTTGTGTGCTGATTTGCTTAACTGTTACAATCTCCAAGACGATGCCGGAGCTGATCCCTCGAGGTCTTGTGTCCGCTCCGCTGCTGCGCTTCTGTACGTGATGCAGAAACGGGAGGCACGGAGGAAGCAGACAGCATCCATGCTGAGCCTCAAGAACCCTCTGGCCTGTCAATGAACATGCTTTTGAGGTGACTATTTTAAGAGGTATATACTTTTTCTTTTTTTAAACAACAGATTTAATTTCATGGCTACACGTTGAACCCGCTCATCTTAATTTAATGAAGGGTGGTAATTAATTTAACCTCAGTCAGCCCACAGCTCAGAAGATTAGCCAGTCTGGATCCAGCAGTAGGCTATCTGTTTTGCACTGTAAACTAATAATATTTGAGAAAGAGATATATATATATATATATATATATATACACTCTTTGGCAACAGTAGGGATGGGAATCGTAAGAAATTGAACGATTCCTAAACTGTTCTATTAACGATGCTTTTAGTAGCACTTTTAATGAATGCATCTGAAAAAAAAAGCCAAATGGTCAGATAATTTCATATTCCAACAAAACAGATAATAGAAAACAGAAAACATTTTTTATTTATTTTACTTTTTTAGAAGTGATCTAAATGCAGTGCAACATTTGACTCTACATATATATTATAGAAAAATAATAAACACAAACATTGGTAACATTTTATTCATACATTTGTTTTTAGTCATCTGTTTCTTTTGCTAATTGCTAATTAATCAGACTTCACAGTTTGCTTTGTGTTTTTAATTAACCAAAAATTAATCAAACTACACGGTTCGCATTGTATGTTTTTGATTAACCAAAAGCGTTCTGGCTCATATGATTGAAAATGACAATTTTTTGTTTTCATTGCATTTTGCTTGAAGCAGGAGCATGTTTTAAATTAATTTATTTTAGTTCAAATGTTTATATTGTATTTATTTTAATAATGAATTATTAATTTTACTATTTTTTACTGAATCCGTTATAAATATGAATAAGAACCCTTTCTCAGTTCCAAAACCTACATATCAGTATCCTGATGTATGTTTGGTAAAATAACCTAATATTTACATAGTTCAACTGCTTCACTTCCATAGTTCAGACAACATTAGGATAAAGAGCTGTATGTATAAGAATTAGAATCCTTTCTCATTTCCCAAACCTATATCAGTATTTTGATATATATGTTTAATAAAATAACCTAATATTGACACTAAACTGCTTTATTTCCAAGGTTCGGCCAACATTAGGATAAAGAGCTGTGGATAAGGTTGCCACAGTAACTTTTGAGTGTTTATTTGATCAGTTATTTCTTATTAAACCTGCTATGAATAAGAATGCTTTCTCACGTCTCAAACTTGCATACAGGCTATATCAGTGTCTGGATATATACACTGTAAAAAAAATCCGTAAAATTTACGGTAGAAAACCGGCAGCTGTGGTTGCCGGAATTTAACCGTAAAAAATACGGTAGCAACGTTTTAGGTTTTACGGTTTTAACTTAAATTTACAGTTAAATACCGTAATTTCATTAACTGATAAAATTTTATTATATACCAACCTATTGAAGTAGGGAATGTCAATTTACGGTTATTCACTGTAAATTATACGGTCTTTTTCACTTCCAAATACGGTATATTACCGTAAAATTAATGTCCAATACATGTAATGTCCAATACAGTTTTTCACCGTATATAGTAGGGGAATTTACCGTTAACCATTTAACAGGATTTTACTGTAGCATTTTTACAGTATTTTACCGTTAAATTCACGGTCATTTTTTACAGTGTACGTTAAAATAAAGTAACCTAGTACTGACCTAGTTCAACATCAGCTGCTTTACATCCGAGGTTCGGACAACATTAGGATTAAGAGCTGTGTGGATAAGGTTGCCACAGTAACTTTTGGTCTACTTTTGACACACCCAGATACAAGCCAGACTCTTGTATTTCTCAACTGTTAATGTGAAACCCACTGCTAGCCCTTCAGACATACTCGAGTGGTTTTAGCGCTTATTCCACATCAGAATCAAAGGAAAAGTGTCATTTTTTAGACAGTCACTCAAGTGCTGTGGTGCTTCACGTAAGTACTCTCATGAATGCATGCATGCAATCTAACATGATAAAGTGTTTTGTGAATGTGACAGCTCATTGTATTTGATTAGGTTCACAGAATAAAGATGTCGCCGTTGGTGCTGGGAGTCGGAGTGTGCTTAGCTGGGTGGATTGCTCTTTATGCTTTGCTGTGCTACACAAATGGCTCTTGTGGCTATGAATGGAACTGTCGGCTAGTTACACTATTCCATGGCATCCTTGCAGTCTGTATAACTGCTTACATTGGATACATAGATGGACCGTGGCCTTTCACCTACCCAGGCAAGATGTACTTAATGCTAATATATATAATAGGGGTGTATGATATTTAGAGACTATTTAATGATTGCAATTGCATAATTAATGCTAAGAGATTAGTTTTTCAAATGTGAAATTTTGAATATTAAAATATAAAAAAAAAAAAAAAAGTATAAAAGTAAAACCACCAGTAGTTGGTGGCAATTCAGTTGCTGTGTCCAAAATAGGTACTACATTTGATAAGTTTGCGACAGTAAAACGACTTACGATGTCAGTTGCGCCATTTCACTGCCATTTACAACTCTTTCGCATTATGGAATCTCAGTTGAAGTTGTAAGTCATCTCACCTACTGTTTTATTAATATTATGAATTTGGACATACTGCTCTTCTCATGTGTTGTTTTTCGCTCTTATGTAGTTGGGAAGTAGGCATATTCGGAGTTTCAGACGCAGGAATTGTCTTAACGAGTGAGTCACTTGACTCACATCTTCCTATTCTTATCTTCGTTCAGCTGGCTGATCTATTGAGAAACAAAGCAAGTGGCAAAGCAGCTGTTTATGAATGAGTCATTGAATTATTCACTCAACTGATTTGTTCTAAATGCCGATTCAGTCAGTAACAAAACACCAGTGTTTGTTTCTCAAAGATTTGTGTTTAAAACTATTTTTGTTGGTGAAATGGAGCCAAAACAGACAATATTATGTCTATAAATGTAATATAAATATAAAAATGTAATAAAAATATAAATTATGTCTAAATTAGGGCTGGACAATAATTCAATATCAATATATATCGCGAGTAGCATTCATGAGCGGAGCTGCTTTGATTACAGCCATTACTGGGGAAACCGCTAGTTTTATCACTCTAAAAGCGCCTCCTGCTGGCAGAGAATGAGTTTTCATTTTAAATAAGCCCGTCTCCAGCAACATTTCCAGTTTTCGTTGTTGTTCAATTTTTTTGTTTTCTGCAGCGACTCGGAGCACTTTTCATACCCTTTTTTCCGGCTGAAGCACATTTGTTTCAATCTATAAGAATAACCAGCCTACACTACCAGTCAAAAGTTTTTGAACAGTAAGATTTTTAAAGTTTTTTTTTTATTTTTTATTTTTTTTTAAGAATTCTCTTCTGCTCACCAAGGCTGCATTTATTTGATCCAAAGCACAGCAAAAACAGTAAAATGTTGAAATATTTTTACTATTTAAAATTGCTTTCTATTTGAATAGATTGTCAAATGTAATTTATTCCTGTGATCATACATAGCTAAATTTTCAGCATCATTACTCCAGTCTTCAGTGTCACATGATCCTTCAGAAATCATTCTAATATGCTGATTTGCTGATTATCAATATTTAAAACAGT